TCTGTGAAGTCACAAAGGACCGCTGTAAGAGTTACTTCATTTTTTTTGCTTCTCTTCATCAGTTTTGGCTTCTGTCCATTTCTGCACATGAAGTTGTTGTAAGCCCATAGTTGCTATCACTTCTTTTTTAGTTGGATTACTCTTATGAGATGTCAAATATGAAACCTTCAGATGTTTAATAAATGCATGACCCTCAATCCTACGTCTATATAATCCATTGAAGCAATCCAAAGATGTTTAAATGTCTTTGGTTAGCCCGCAAAAGAAAAAGTGTTGGATCTATAATTGCAGCTAATAAGAGACTTGAACAAGACTGCAACAATGCAATTGTTAACCTTGGACTGAAATGGTTAATCGTGTACCTGCAGCACAATGATCATGGTCCAGAAGACATAGAATCCAGCCAGGGCAGGAGACGTGTCCGTATCAACCTGAAAGACCGGGTCTTTGAGGTTCTTCAGCCAGAGGCCGTGACCTGAAACACACCAAGACACCAGAGCAGCTCAAGATTAAAGCTGGACATGGTTCACACAGGACGTGTGGAAATCTGGCAAGAAAACGCTTCGATAATAGACTACAAACAAGTGGTTACAGTGTGAACCCGGCATCAGCCTCTGGAGCGTTTACTGGCTCTCCGTCAGTGTCTTTTCGGTGACTGCTTTTCATGGCAATACTGGCTCTCAAGTGGTCTACATGTGCTTTCACATGCTCAGCCACACCCTGCAGTAATACTGCTGCTACTCTTGCTGCTGGTACTCACCTATGGCAGCAGTCAGACACATGATGATGAGCAGGAGCACACACCACAGGACGTCTGTGTTCAGACGCTTCTCCAGCTGGCTGCGCTTATACCTCGGCCCACTGTTGTTCATCATGGCTTTAGTCTCATGACCTAAGTCACACAGGAAGAGAAAAACAGTATACGTCCATGCTCACTTATGTAGACCGTTATACAGGAAGTATATCAGCAAACAAATCCCCACATATGATGAAAGACAATGAAGACTAAAGTCCACACTAGACCAGCATGGAGATCAGTGGACAGTAAAAACAAGAATCTGGAGAGGATTCCAGGGAGGAAGTCCTTCCACATCCGACCAACAGGTGGAGAGGGAAGTGGAAAACTCTCTGGCTTGACATCCACTCAAGAAGAGAGGATGCGATGATGAGGAACTCAAGCAGAGAAGACAAAGGGTGAGAGTGGACTGGAAAGTCCATCGAACAGATCAAACTACACAGAGGGAAGAGAATAACAAGCTCAGAGCTGCTTTTGAGGAGCTGATTAAAAAGTCAGGAAAAGATCAGATCAGCTGAGGCCGCTGGAAGTTAAGATGAATAAAAAAAGTCCTTCAATCAGAGGATCGACGGTTCGATCCCTGATCAGAGTGCACAAACAGTCCAGGTGGACATCTGTGGAGTAAAGTGAGTTCACATTCCCTCTGTGTTCTATCTTAAAGCTCGTTGAGAGGACACGTGTAGGCTTTCTGATATAGAAAACAAAGCACACGTTTCCAAAATGTGGTGTATTCCTCAAAGTGAAAAGTCACACAGTGACAGATGTTCTGCTCTTACCGGCGTAGACCACCATGCCCACCACAGTCTCAGTGTTGCGGATGGTGCAGCTCCTCAACAGGAGGTTGCCGTTATGGAGGCCGACTCGAACCCCACCGGGGTGCTCCCTGTGGAACAACGTGCACGCACGCGCACACACGCACACACGCACACGCACACACACAACAGGCCGGAGCTCAGACTCAGCTGCATAACATAATCCAGTTCTAGCCGCTGACAGGTCTATCTAGGAGACAGAGGTGGCCCTGCTGCATTGCTTTGTGGGAGACAAAGACAAAAGCAGGTGCTATTGACACAGTTTTCCTTCCATCAGCTTGTGATCACATCTTAATTGTCTCACTGTCTTCATGTATTAATAAGTCTTAATCCATATATCGAGGTCCCGGCAGTGTGCACTGACTACATGTGTTGGATGTTAGAATGGAAAGAGACTCACATGTAACCTCTAAACCTGCCGAGGTCGTTGTTGGGCTTCTCACACTCGACACGACAGTGGAAGCTCTCAGCGGTGAACTCCTCTCCCTGGAAAACACCCACAGATATCAGACAGGGACGGCAGAGCAGAGATGTGGAAGTATAACAGATAATCATGCTGCCAGTCGACACCACACTTTATTCTACGGCTGAGGAATATGTCAACTAGCTTTTCATTAGTTCTTTAATATGGAATACATATTTTTCTACTCAACTCTACTTAAAGAAAATAAAACGTATCTACTGCATGAAGTCATTAATACATTATAGAACTCACTTCCTGAAATACAGAGTAAATGAACATCTCCACCATAACAATACATCTGGTAAATACTTAAAAAATCTAAATAAACAGAATCAAAAATAAACAATCTCAATCATTAAGGACTTTGCAAGAAGGCCCACATATTCACTTAGAGACCAAATCTGCACAAGTTGTATGTATAACACTCAAATCCTCCATCCAAACTCAGTAGTACAGGAGGCCACCTGTGCTGGTTCTGGTCCTACAGAGGCTCGGGTGGAATCCTTCATAGCATTCTAAGAGCACACATTACACACAATCTACAGAATTCCTCCAGAAGGAGCTGCATCAGAGATGAGCTCCTGAACACCTCAAAACCAGAAGAGGTCCCGTCCTAAGGGGGACAGCAGTGGCCTGTCCTCCTCGGACCCCTCAACCATGTTCTTGCCTGTCCTGCAGGTTTCGCTGTTGAGGCCTTTTAATCAGAGCTTCAATAATGGATTTTTTCCAATGAAGTGAGAATATTATTTTTATTAAAGACAGTGAGATTTGGTAATGGTTTATTGCAACCAATCACTCTTTGTGGTATATCACGTGCATCGTGCTGTGGGTGTTTTCAGAGCTGATAAATTACATTTGTTGTAGAACATGAGATCTTTCCTTTCACCATTACTATTAATAGGCTGGTTAAATAGATTGCTCTTTGTTGTAAAATGGCATTGGCAACAAGAATTGTATTTGAAGAAACACTTTCTAATTGTAATGAAGTAAAATGAACAATATATAAGAAATCCACATGTATTATTACCTGCAATGGGAGGTCTGACACCACCTGCCTCTGTTTCAGGTTGGTTTCTCCATCCAGGTTGGCGGTGTCAATGTAACAAACCCCCCGTGGGTCAGAGGAGTACAGCAGCAGCATGTCAGCTGGGATGATGTCATTACAGGACAGACGGACAAAGTCTCCGACTCGCACATCCTTCCAGCACTGGTCAACGTAGGCTTTCTGCTCGCTGTGGACAGACACCGACGAGAACATGACTCAGCAGAATATCGCACTCTATGGAAACAGCCCAATCATGGCTAGATTTAGAGAGAATATAAATATTTATTTTGTGCAGAATGACAGTTATGCCATAAATCAATGGGGGAAAAAGGAAATACGCAAGTTGAATTTCTTTGATAATTTAATTTAAATGTCATGTGACTGTTGGTATTCAACTAGTGATCACACAGAGCAGCATACTTTTGTCCTAGGACTATGAAAGTGTGCATGAAGATGAGTGAGTATGAATGACCATTCCTATTATTTTACACTGTAGAACTTTTATTGGCTTTTGACCATGGAAGCCGTGTCAGCCTTTAACACTATAATGTACTGTATATGTCAACTGATAACTCCTGGTAGTATTTGCCATCAGGGAGTCCGAGTAAGAGAGAGAAAACACAGCCCTTTGTTGACAGGCATTATCGTCACATGCACTGATTACAATGCCTGGTTAATTATTACACTCACAGTCAAACACCCTTTACAGGCCGGGCAGGAGAATTACTGGAACTCCACCATTATGTACAATGTGAGGTTATGAGGTGATCCAAGATAAACGTTTTGATTGCAATCTAAATATAGTTTATTGATATAATGTTCTGCAAAAATGTTGTGTTTATTTCTATATAGACTGTTATTGTGCTTAATTGCACTTACAATTGATGTTTGAATGCCTAAATTAATACATTTTCAAAAATGTCCAATAATTCATTTTGGCTTTCTCCTTGACATCATAACTATTTGTGACAGTGTTGAGGTCGAGAACACCTAAACCCAGACCAAGTCATGACCAAGACTTGGAGGGGTTGAGGCCAAGTCAAAACCAAGGCAGGGTGAGACAGAGTCAAGACCAGACCAGTGTGAGTCTCAAACTGCATGATGAAATGTGGAATATGCAAATCATAGACACTTCTCAAATTAAGCTGAAAGATACACATTCCCAAAGTACCCACAGAAATATATACATATACATATACATTAAACTTACCCTGTGTGTGTGTGTGTGTGTATACACACACACACACACACACACACACACACACACACACACACACACA